ATCCAAACAATTGAGGGGGTGTTTGACACCCATTTTCCTAGAAAAATGTGTTTTTAAATAGTGATTGATGGAAAAATGTGTGGTTAAAAAGTAAGGAGAATTTTTAGGTTTATGTGTAATATTATTTTATTGATAGAATATGTGGTTGAAATGAAGAATGAGAAAAAAAATGAGAATAAGAAAAAAAATGGGTGCCAAACGGGGGTTTAAAATTGAATCTATCGCATATTGACACATAGATTGATGCTCTAACACCATTGGTGCTAAATAATATTATTATTCTTTCGAGTAATGTTATTTATCATTATAATGATGAAATATCGGTGATTGATCGGTCCATCTTAACGATCATAAACATCATTATTCTATTATTTCCCTCATGTCATTCATTTGACCCGGCCCGCAGTTCCCTACGGTCCACATCTCTTGATGAAAGATCAACGGTGGGAATTCATTCATTTCATTCTTATACACACCGTCGCGGTATAAACCCTAAATCCATTTTCTCTGTCCTTCATAAACCCTTGTCATCTCTCTAGGGTTTAAGATACAGCCCATCAAAAGGTAAGATTTTCCCTAATGTTACTTGATTGTCACTTTGATATTCAATGTTGTATGTGTTCGGATGTGTTCTTTTTAGTGGGTTTTCAGTGACGGTTTGATTATGATATTGACTGTGCCTATGATTAGTGGTGAGTAGTCTTTTATGTATTTTGAACTTTACAATTTTGTTATGAAATATGTTGTTTCTGTAATAGCTGAAAAAAGAAGAAGATAAAACAAAGTTATTAATATTCTGGTACATATGTGCTTGTTTTTGTGATATTAGTGTGATAAGACAATATATTTGCCTGCAACTGAGAATTTGTGAAGCTTTTAAGAGCGAAAATACGCTATTTAGGCCTTGTTAAATGGAAACTTGAAAATAAGGGTAGATTTTCATATTTGAATTTGCGCAAGTATGGAGGATTGAGCAAGTAATTGACGTGAAATGCAAGTAGATGAGTATGTTTTTGTAAACAATATTCTTTTTCTCAGGAAAAAAAGGAAATCTCTCTTGAGATTTTATATGTTGATAAGATTGAAAAGAAGAAAAAAAAGAATCTCACATATATGTTCTTCCTGAGTCCGGTTGTTATGTTAATCATGTGCTCATCTTGCTCTATTGCCTAATCTTCATGTTTCTTTCGATGCGTCAGAACTGGAAAATAGTATTCTGAGTCTAAAGTGGGTTGGCAGAGATTCTCTGTATATTGTGTTTCTTAGGCAATGTTAATTCCATTTTTAGGTCTGTGCAATGGCCTTCCTTAGAAAAGCTGGTAATATACTAAGCCGGACTGTGAGTAATCACATCAGTCAGGAAATCTCAACATCCCAATCCTCCCTCTTTCAAGCAATAAGATGCATGTCAACCTCGAAAATCTTTATTGGAGGTACAATATTCTGTTCTTAATTCTTATTTTTGAAATTATCATTGAGTAATTTTTTTGGGTTTTAGACTAGTATTGACATTTCGTGATATTGTGGTTTTTGCAGGACTCTCATTCAGCACAGATGACTCAGGTCTGAGAGAAGCTTTTAGTAAGTATGGAGAAGTTGCTGAAGGTACTTTAAGCATACCCAGATTGTTATTGATGATGGTGTGATAGTTTGATGTAATTTGTGCCATTCATGTCATGGTTATTGAAGAAAATTATTATAAGAACCATTGATCCTTCTATCTTTATATGTTCGTAGTTAACACTTAACATGGCATGTAGTTGCTTGTCTTTTAAATAGATAATTGAATGAAATGTAAGCACTGTATACTTATTGAAAAAGTCAAACCCTTCTCATAAAGGTTTATTGGTGAAATTTGTAAAAGAATAACTAAAATTTGCTTCTTTATTGGTTCCTAGTCGTAAATAGCAGTTTCTTGAATTTTGATAAATTAATAAAATATACGTTCTGTAAAATCATTCTTTTGCTGAATACCGCTTTAACTGAAACTGAAAGGATGCCGAGTGGACTTGAGTGTTTATACAGTCCAATTTATTTATGTTGGAACTTGTATTAGTTGTGTACATTGGTGTTTTCCTTAAACACCGCTAGTGCTTACACGTGTAGGTGTGTATTGTTTTTCGGTGATCATTTTATTTCTTTGAATGGTTGAGTTTAGAGAATTACAATTTTGCAATCACCTCATGCATGTTCTTGACATTGGCACAGCTGCACAGGCATGAAATTATTCTCGTGGCTTTTTTAAAGGAAAGGTAACGATGTTTGTTACAGAAATAGGTTGTTGGACTGAATTGCAAATTTATTTGTTGCAGCGGTTACTCTTAGATTTTGATACTTAAAGATGAATTTTTAACAAGTTGGAGTATCTTTAAAATATCTCTCTCTTGTTTACTGGATAATCATTTATATCGAATTGATTATGTGAGCATTTCCTTGTTTTGGGAGTTGAGTAGAATAGCAAGTGGAAAACTTTATTCAAATAATACTGACAAACCTGATATTTCTTGTAGCAAGGGTGATTGTTGACCGTGATACTGGCAGATCTAGAGGATTTGGCTTTGTTACATTTTCTACTGTTGAGGATGCATCTGCTGCCATCCAGGCCTTGGATCAACAGGTATCCTCATCTTGTTACTTCATTTATTTTCTTCAATTTTTCTTTCCAATTGGAAAAGGTTAACTAACCCTATGTTGTATAGTTGACATTCTTGGGGTATGGCTTGATTTTATTTCGTCATACATTTTGACTGATATTTCATTCTGACATTCTTTTAGGATCTTCATGGTCGTAGAGTAAGGGTGGCTTATGCAAATGACAGGACTCCTAGCTATGGGGGTGGCGGCGGCAGCTATGGGAGTGGCGGCGGCAGCTATGGGGGTGGCGGCTATGGAGGTGGCGGTGGTGGTGGTGGCTATGGAGGGAACTATGGCAGTGGTGGAGGCGGTGGCTATGGTGGGAACTTTGGTAGTGCTGGTGGCGGAGGTGGTGGCTATGGGGGAAACTTTGGCACTGCCACAGGTGGTGGAGATGGCTACACTGGTGGTGGTAGTCTAAATTATGGGGGTGATGGTCAGAATTTTGGTGTTGCTAGAGGTGGTGAGGGCCTTGACACCCTTTCCATTGATAATAACATGGGTCCTGCTGGCAGCGGTTTTGTACAAGATGAGGGGGTTCAGTTGAAGTTTGATGCCGAAGAAAGCAAAAACATGGAAGGTGCTGTTGACAGTTATGACAAAGATGAGCCCGTGGAAGGAAACTATAGAGATGACAATGATACCCCTGATAATTTTGCTGATAGAAGGGGATAGTAGGATCGCCCTGTGTAATTGCATCCGACTATTGCCTTTGATATGAGAGATGGATGTTCTACTATTTTTTTTTAGACTATTTTATTTAATGATTGAAGTCCCTCTGAACGGTATGGATACTTAAAACTGCCTTATGGGCAGCATAATGCATATTTATTCTGGTGTATGTTGATGTAATCTTCTGTTCGTCATTTACCAACATAAAATCTTCCTCTCGCTCCCGCTGGCAAATTCAACAGTTTCCTCAGCTTTACATGATTGCAACTTTGGCTTCAAAGGCGTGGACCCTCCGACGATCATTGCCAAACTTGCGAATATTTTTATTGAATATTCATTGGAATCGTAAATCATGTCTGAACATGAGAGCTTTTTCTAAAGGCTAAAAGGGACACTCACGAGTCAACTTGCTTCAGGAAGTTGTGTACAGTTAGATCTCAAATTGGGGCCTAAAGTCTTATATTTCGTCCAGTCTTCCAATGTTGGGATTGAATGAGATATCTATACTTTACTTGTTCGAGGGCTTAGCATATTGCACATTTCTTGTTTTAGATATATCTTTCGAAATCCCCAAAAATTCAGTTTTTGTATTAGTTGCTGCTCCTGCATATTAATGGGAAATCCTTTTAATTATTTATTACATATAAATCTAAAATCTGTGGATTCATTATCAATCTATCGGATTACCTATTTGTCTATCTATAAAGAGCATTTTCTCTGTCAAAATGGTAGAATGAAACAAGTCAAGGCAAGAAATTCCTCTCAAGTCTATAATCTGCAAATTCTATTTCTTTTCTTCTTTTATTTTAATGTTGGTACTCATCAGTTGAAAACAATGCTATATGAGCGTTTGAAATTACAGGAGAGCCTTTCCTAGCTCGCTCTACAATTTGCCTTATCAACAGCCTCTCCATCTCTTCTTCACCATCTCCATTCTTATCTGTGCTACATATGATGTCGTCTCTATGATTCGATAACAATGGTGGGCTTCCATTAACAAAGGAATGTCGCGTGTAATGGTTTGAGCCCCCATTACGAACGTGCTGCCCATCCTGAAATATTTCTTGCTCGTTGCCCTCCTCAAGCCCAGATGGCGTGTCCTCTTCATCCGACTTGGCTACCTTTGCAAACTCGTCATAAGCCTCATTGTATGCAGCAAGAGCTTCCCCTGATAAATTTATAATCACAGGCTCGTCTGTAGATGCATCTTCATAAGATCCTTCTCCGTTGTTAGAAAATTCGCTCCAACGAGGTGCATTCTTGGATTCAGCGTATTTCATCTTCCTCTGACTGTTCTGAAGTGCAATCTCGAGCTCCTTGACACGTTCTTCGAGTTGGGATTGAATGACTTCATGTAACCGCAAACTCAGCTCTCTTGGGGAGACCGCATAGTGGACGGAGCAGGGGGTTGAGCAACCAATTTGATCCTGATCAACATCAGGTTTGTCAAACAAGTCGGCTCTCAACTCTCCCTCAACATCATCTGCTATGAAATCTTTGTCAACCTACAATATATTCAACCAGAGAAAATAAAACCATGAAACGTCTTATATATACTGTATTTTCCCATCAATAATATAGCATCAAACTGCATCCAACAAAGGTCATATATGGAAAAATGAAATGATGAGATTCAACTTTCGAAGTAAAAGAGAGACTAATTTGTTTGAAGTTATTTTATGCGTGTGGTAATATTGACATCAGCCAGATAACATCACATATAAGCACATGCTTTTCTTCTTTTCATTAAAAATCAGAAAATATCTTTTCCAACATAAGATGGTACAACATGCTCACCTCCGCTAAATTAGATATTTTCTTTTCCAACTTAGATGAACTCATGTTTAATTCCAACCTCTCCAGCTCAGCTTCAAGCTCTGCTTCAATGTTACTCAAAGATAAGTCCTCTGCCTTCTGGTCACCATATTCTTCACGACAATACTCTGTTGAGTCGTCCACTTTCTGTTCAGGGGTAAATGCATCCACTGCCTCTTTGTAGTAAGAGTCGTCGTGCATATCCTGTGATTCATAATTTTCTACAGCGAGCTCTTTCATTGTCAACAAATCTTTCATTTCAAGTTCTTCCTGCAGATCTTGAACAAGGTTCTCAGTCTGCCTTAACAAGGTACTCAGTTTTTCTATTTCCATTTTATGTGCCAAGAAAGATGATATTATGCCAATAGAGAATCCACGATAGAAATTAAGAGCTCCACCAGGTGATCCTAATCAAACACAGAATGTCAGACAAGAGACATTTTAGCAACGTGATATGCAATCAAGTCTAACTTACCAACCTGTTTGAGAACACAATGGCAAAAGCAAAACGTTTCCACAAGAAAAAATTTCAAATGGTTATAGTGGTGGCACAATGTCTTCAATTACAGAAATCAAAAACACATCCAACAAAATAAACAGTCCATTTAACAGCATCCCACACAAAGTGTATATATTATATATATGAGCAAGACTAGTACCTTCAGGAGAATTATTGGTATTTCCATTGACCATTCTACTAGAATTGCTCGATCTTGTAACCTTCTCCTTTCCAGTTTTAGCTTTATTACGGCACTCCATTAATGCAACTTTAGGTAGTCCAGGAATTCCTAGAACAACCTCCCCATCTTGTGAATAAGTCCTTTCGTGCAAGTTATATTTCCCTGTTCCAGTTGGAGAACTAAAGGATTCATAACCAGCTCTGCTGATTATTCTGCTCCCATCAGTAACTACAAAAGGCCGTACAGTTGGTTTGCAAGGTGAATGAGTTGAACTAAAGGTGTATTCTTCAATTCCCGAATGCTCCTTGTATAACTGAGCCATGAGACAACTTTCAACAGATGTTAAGGGTTTTATGAATTGTCTGTTAGTTCGTCTAGTTCTAAGTCTACTTCTATTTCTCTAAATGACATAAGAAAAACTCATTTCTCTTGCAGATAGTTGACATGATAAATCACTATGAACCTCATCAATGTTCAGTCCTCTGCCTTCCCAATCCTCTAGCACATCTTCATTGTTCATAACCCCCGGTGATAAATTTGAATTGGGAGATGTACTGCAAATCATTAGGTTTTCCAATGCTACCATATTTTCACCTCCAAACTCACTTGTAGAAGCCATTTCTGCTGCTGAAGCCTCTTGAGAAACCTTAGTTTCTTCTCTACAAACATCTTTCACAAGCTTATTTTTCAAAAAGGCACTGCAGAAGGAGCAGCGCTTCTCTTCATCGTTCGATCTATCAGAATCAGCATTAGCAGAAGATAAATCTGACAAATAATTTTTAGCCGGCGAAAGATTCTTCAAATACTGAGCTACATACCCAGCACCAGCTGCTGCAGCAACAATCCAAACATCCATTTTCTAGCCACCTCAAGAGAAAAAAACTAACTCTCTTTCAATTCAGAGCAACATAATCCCCGAAAGAATTTCCATTAATCGGAAAACAAGAAACCCAACCAATAAAACCAATGTCCGGGACAAAATGCAGACGAAAGTGGAGAAATAAAAAGTGAGACGTAAGAATAAGAAAGCGCCAAGTTATGTGCTCTTTGTTCTTATATTCTTCAAATAAAAATCTCCAATTGCAGTCAACTTGGACTATCTATATGAACAAACAATAACTCAGCATTCAAATAAAAAAAAAATGAAACCACCCGCCTCTGATAAAATAATTGTCAACTACACACACTTTTTTTAACCAATTAAACAGAGACAGAGATTTAGAATGCCTCAAAACAAAAAAGTAGCCTTATTTCAGTATCAAAGTCAGAACCCAAATGAAGACTTTGTCAAATCCTTTGAACTTTCAGATGAACTACAGAAAACATCAAGAAAACCCAATGCACACACATTTACCAGAAATCTCTGCGCTGCAAAATCCATCAACGAAACAACCCATTTCAAAACAAGGATGAATGAATGGAAACTAGGGCTCTTTTGGGTACCGAAATGGATGGTAGAGAGAGGGAGAAGTTTGGGGGTTAATTTAAAAAAAATGGTTTTTGCCCTTTTTTTCAGCCCCATTTTTGAGAGAAAAGGGCGAGGGATAGAATGGTTTAGGGTTTCGGCGGCGACGGCGTTGGCGGGGTGGAGGAGGCGGGGAGGGTGGAGGAGAAGAGAGAGTGAGAGTGAGAGTGAGAGT